TTTGATTTCTTGACGACAACCACATTCGCAGGGCAGTATCTAATCCCTTCAATCCTATTGATTACCTAATATTACTCTCTTTATAACAGTAGGTTTGCCAGTATCCCTTCTGCGGGACCGACTATTGACTCTCAGCAGTACAAGACAATATGTCTCAACATATTCATACCTTCGGAAAAGGATGTGACCTCGCCCCTCCTAGCGGCAGCGAGCAAGCTCGCAAGCCGTGTGATGAAATGCCCCCAATGCGAGCGCAGTTCTTCTACTGTTCTCCTCTCCCCCTCGATGATCCTCTCACTGCTGTACCTCCTCCAACAGCCGATTCCAAAAATGTGAGACATCCTCCACGACCATTTCCGAAATGCGATAACAAGGTGCTTCTGGAAGCATGGCTGGGCATGGCTTCAAAGCGGGACCGCAAAAGTCATAATCGGACATGTAAGCCTAAGGTAGGGATCGAGCCGATAACAGACAAGATAATCACCAGTGCTATCGGATTCAAACCAATAATCAAACGCGAGGCTAAGGAATTGAAGGAATCTTTGATGTCAACTACAAGGAATATTGAAAGGCAACAGACAAAGACTGGATCGGCCACACAGCCACAGCAGGCCCATTCCGAGCTTTCAAATAGCCATCAAGAACATAAGGTAGGAGCAAAGGATGGAAAGACTCCACCCACAACTATTGGTTGCTCTTGCAAGGGGAGTCATCTCTGGTGCAGAAACAAGACAGGGAAGTGTAAATGTGTGTCTTGCCCCAAAGCTCCACAAGAAGTGGCTGCAGCCGAAACCCACCCACCCCATGCATCCGTCCCTAAGACCAATGACAAGCCACTTGTTCCTGGGCCAATCACCAAATGTAACTCTAAGGAGAATCTTCAAGAGGAGAATACCAATCATAGCAAGCCATCTAAACACAATGCGCACAATGGCAAGAGAGAAAGATCTGACAGAGGAGGGCCTGAGAAGGCCCCTAAACCAGAGGCAAGCCCCGAACTTGAGTGTACGTGCAATCAGTCAAGAAAAGACTCAAATCACACAACCGGAAAATCCAAGGGAACCAATACAATTTACAACCGCCCTACAGAGCCGTTCCCAGCTGAATCACTCAACCATGGCCAACAAGAAAAAGGAATCCTTGAAGAATGCAAGCCACACAACCATCAACCCAAGTGTTTGTGTATGAACATCGAATCTCACCAATATAGTACCGATCAAAAGAAGAGATCTAAGCATTGGGAACACGATTGTAAGAAAGGAAAGGCCGAAAGAGAAAGGTCCGAAAAAGAACTCAACTCGGAGGACAAGGCCTGTAACGAGGAACCCGAGGAGAAGAAGCCTGTCAAGACCAAGTCGAGTGACAAAGGTAAAGGGAAAGGGAAGGCTGTTGCCCTCAATGACCAAGATGACACAGATCAAGTGGAGGAGACAAAGGCATGGTTTGACGAACAATTAAAAGGTCAGACGGAACCAGATCCAACCTCGCTCTACAGAGATCAGCGTCACCACAGCGAGTGTACCAAAGATTCGGAAGATTTAAAAGCACACGAGAGTGAGGAAGACGCTTGCTGCGTTGAGGATAAAAAGCATAATCCAGATTCACTGACCTCAAGAATACCAAGCTGCTGTGATGATGGCAAGGCTGGTGCCAACTCCAAGCGACAATATTCCGAAGCCGAAACTACGTTTTCGAGCCGGTGTGAGGAAAGTAAAGCCGATAAGGCTTCCGAGCCAGAGGAGTCCGACGATGAAACAGAATTTTCTGGCATTTGTGATGGTGACAAAGCCAGCGACTCTCCAAAGCGGAAAGAATCCGAGACCGAGAATGCATTTTCAAGTAGCTACGACAAGAGCAAAGATGATAGATCAAAGCAAGGTGACTCCGAGTCCGTAACAAGATTTGGAAGTTGCTGTGACGATCCTAAATCCAAAGATAAGCAAGTTTCTGAGGGGCAATCATCCGGGAAGCAGATTACCGAGAGTTCTATATTGAAAGCATCTAAAAATGGATCGGGCAGAAGCAAATTTTTCGGTAGACGCCAGGCAGATGGTACGAGCGATCAGGACGGTGGACTATATGATGACTCCGACGAAGATCTTCCTGTTGATTACATGGTTTCCGACCAAGGAGATGCTACAAATGACAAATGCACCTGCAACCGTCATCCGCAAGTATCTGAGCATGATGGACTTGCAGCCGGAAATGGCATTGTATATACCAAAAGTAAAAAAACTGCCGTTTCTGGTACAACAGGAAAGCCATTTCTGAAACTGCCTGCTCGTGGTGAAAGCCCTCAGATGCAGAACAGCACAGCATGTGACGATGAGCCACCCACTGATTCTCGGACCTCACACGAACGGGACTCCACAGAAGATATGGAGGTTGAAGGATGCAAGGCCTATAAACATAATGAGCATGCAAAATGTCAAGTTGACATCCCTGTTGGGACATGTAGACTTCATTTGGTCAGCTTATCATCTCTGATTTTGAAGCCGATATACTGGTCACCTCTCAATGATCAGTACCCTTGCATTTACGGCACGTGGTTCTATAAAGACAACATGTGCCCCGTAGAGCCCGCCGTCGCTAATCAGCTAGAGAAGGGTTACAGGGAGAATGAATGTTGGTCTCAGACATGGGAAGATCAACTTAACTCTGCAATAGAAGTTGGCGCGGAAGGCGAAGAGAAAATCGTTCACCGTCTTTGGCCTAAAGAGAATGACGACAAAACTCTAGACTATGATCCTTTCAAACACATTCTCTCCGCAGATCCACACTGCGCCGCACGCTGCTTTCATGGCGAGGCTGCTGCAGAAGGCAAGGTTGAAGAGTCGGATTCAAAGCCAGGTGCAGCTACCTCGATTAGTAAAAAATACCCGAATTCACAAGTCATCTATAAGAATTGCGAGGAAGCCTTCATTCTGAAGCCTAGCATTTGCCCTTCGGCTTATTACGGACGTAGACCCCTTGCAAAAATCAAAAGTGGGCTATGTGTCGGTATACCTGTCGTTCGTGGATTCAATCGAAAAGCTTGGAACAAGCTTCATCTTTCAAAGAAATCAGTGACGGCCACGAAACTACACACCAAAAGTGCGAAGCACAGTAACAATGGCTGTAATATATTGGAAGAGTGCCCGGCATGTAAGGCACAAGAGGAGCCTGAAAAGGTTACTGATTTGTGCCTGGTCGTTCATGGCATTGGTCAAAAACTTTCGGAGCGCATGGAGAGCTTTAATTTTACATATGCTGTGAACAGCTTCCGATGTGAGATGAAGCGGGAATTAACAAATGACGATGTGAAGGAGGTGCTCCGGGAAGACTTCTGTGGCCTTACAGTGCTTCCTGTCAACTGGCGTGCGAATCTTTCATTTGAAGATGGTGGACCAAGAAAGCCTGGAGACAAAGAACGTCCAGGTTGTGATTTCTCCCTTGACGATATAACCCAACCAACAATTCCGAGAGTACGCCAGCTCATCTCTGATGTGATGTTAGATATTCCATACTATATGTCTGGACACAAGCACAAGATGATCGCAGCTTTGATTGCCGAGGCCAACCGGATATATCGTCTTTGGTGTAAGAACAATCCAGGGTTCCACAAGAATGGTCGGGTTCACCTTATTTCGCACTCCCTTGGTAGTGTCATGGCGCTTGAAGTGCTAAGTAAACAGCCCACCACCTTACCAGCTGAGCTTCCATGGAGACCCAATACCAAATATTTCGACTTTCAAACAACAAACTGCTTCCTCGCGGGTAGTCCATGTGCATTCTTCCTTCTACTCGATAGCAAGTCTCTAGTCCCTAGGAAAGGTATTTCCAAACCTGGCTGTGAATGTGAAGATGGCAGCAGTAGAGACATTTTCGGTGATGCGGGTACATTTGGATGCTTGGCCATAGACAACCTTTACAACATCATGCATTGCAACGATCCCATCGCATATCGCTTGAATGCATGTGTAGACTCACGATATGGGGCAAATCTCAAAGAAGCAGAAGTACCGGACTCTTCGCGTAGTTTCATGACAGCAGTGACCCATGCTATGAAATCTGCTGCTGGCATGTCTCAAGATGAAGCGCTTCACGTTGGAGAAATGCCTAGACCTGCTTTAATCACCAAAATGCCATCTCAAATGGAAATGGAAGTGCATGATTTTACGGCGGAGGAAATGGCCGAGAAGAAATTCTGTCAATTGAATGAAAATGGTCAGGTAGATTGGATTTTGGGAAATCGTCCAGGGATGTTAGCCAACCAATACATTGATATGTTGTCGGCTCATAGCAGCTATTGGAACAGTAGGGATTTTATCCGCTTCTTGTGTGTGGAGATTGGAAGGAGATCAGGGAAGATGCATACCTTGCCAAACATGAGAGCGAGGAAGAAGAGCCAGAAATAAACGGAATTCATAAGGGGCCACCAAGAACATTAGGGGGTTTGTGTATTTGCTTTCAAAGGAAAGGGTCACTAAGGATTACAATATGGTTTCGAGAAATGTTTATTGAGTAACCTTGGTACACGGATATAGGAAGACAATCATGCTTTAGGGAGTTGGGATGGTACAGTAATGCTTGCTTTGTTTTTCGCCCTTACGGTAGATTTTTTTGCTGCGATTACCCTAGATTACCTAGTACATTATGATACCCACCTAGAATGAATCATGAAGTATAATTACGATCAAACTGGACATACATGAATACCGACGGCTTGGTGAAATACTCGACTGATTTTGTGTTAGACGAGATAATGATAATTACTTGGTAAGGAATGAGCTGCGTGTTGGAAGGGGGTGAGATTACCCGCATTCCCGAGAACCGAGGTACCAAAATCTTGATATGCGGAGTGACTCGATAGGGTGGGTATATCCCGCCAAGCTGGTTTTTCATATAGGAGAAATACGTTAAGATTGAAGCATTGAAGTAAGCTGCATTGAAGGATTTTGTGAATTGGATCGTGAGAGGGCCATAGAAGACTTACAAGGAAGGCTGAACACAGGGAAAACATGGCAGCAAGACTAAAAATCACGTTATATGTTGATACGGTCAGTCCGTTTGCTTATGAGGTGTTTTGGATTTTTAGGGTGAGTGGTTTTCTATGATGAATGGGGTTGAATGGGAGGATGATGGTGGAATGGGGTGCCAAAGTTGATGAGACCTGATGGACAACAGAAAAGTTTCTGTTTTCAGAATCTGGTTAGGTGGGAATGGGATGTTGGTATAATGGTGTCGGATGAGGGAATATGGAAGAGGTCTTGCTTCACCATCTCTTTTTGGGGATTTTGAACCGGAGATGGGAGGATGAGTTTGTTGACTGACTTGATCATAATGGGATGTGCTGATTCATGGGGGTTTTCTTGATAGCATGATCCTACATTCGCGAAATGTCATATCGAATATGTACCTGTATTCCTGGGTGGTATTATGAAGGATGTTGGAAACAATCCACCGATCAATATCAAAAGTTTGTCTTCTTTGTCTGCTCGCTGCTTAATTGATCTTTCTCTTTTTGACTCCACCCTCGATTTCCAGTTTTGGGATAACAATACTAACACTTCCCTTCAGATAAAGACAAATGGATCGACCGCGAACGTCTCCACTGGACATCTATCTTCAATATCCCCATCTCCTCTAAAACACCAGTCGGTTTTCCTCACATGACGCTGCGGATTCAACGCGCGTTATGTGTGCTACCTTTTTTGTTCTCGGAGGAAAATGAAGCCCAAGATGTTTTATGTCGGTGTCTAGATCGTCTCTATGAAATGTATTGGGTGGAGGGGAAGAACATCACGGCTTCTGGTGTTTTGGAGGAGGTATTGAAAGATGTGATTGGAGAGGAAACAAAGGAGTTGGTGATAAAAGAGATTGCGGGGAAGGGCAAAGAGGCAGTGCTGAAAAATAATGAGAGGGCGGTACGGGAAGGGGCTTTTGGGTTACCGGTGAGTTTGTTTCTCTTTTTTTTCCCTGGGTGCCTGATGGTGGGGTTTGGGATGATGGGAAAGGGGAGAAATGAATATTTGCTGATGTGAATGCGAATAGTGGATGGTATGCACGAATTCCGCAGGAGAAACGGAGGGATTTTGGGGTGTGGATCATTTGGCACAAGTGGTGGATTTCTTGGGGTTGGAGAGAGTGAAGAGTAGAACTTGGAAAGCTTATCTTTGAAGTAAAGCATTGCTTGTTTTTATTAGACTAAGTCCAGATTCCTGTGCTCGAATAACCTTACGTCGACGAGTCATATTTTTCTACTCCTGTGGTATCGTGATCCCCCATTCCCTCACGTTAAAATAAATTAAATGACTGAAAGTCCGGCAACGCAAAAAGCACCTAGGAATACAGCAATAGTACTTAGAGAACCACCGGCACTTTTCGATCCAATCGAAGTACCAGTGGCGGAAGTACTAGATGTGGTGTTTGTGGAAGTGGTGTTTGATGCATCGGTGAGTGTGGTGACTGTGATGCCGGGGGTGGTAGGACATTGGGTTGAGTTATCTGAAGCTTTGAGTGCAGTGATGTTGCCAGAGAAGGTGATGTCTGCGCACTGTTTGGTTGTTAGCTCTGGACTTTGTTGTCTTCTTCATCTGTTACCCTTTTCGTTGGAGAGAGAGAATTGGATGGAGAAGAGGGTTGTAAATCAGGTGATGGGAAAGAAAAAAGAACTTACATTGTAGAGTGCACTTCCACTTTCACCAATAGTAACAACTTGGATTGTGGCGTTCATGCCATCTTCGAGGGTGACGCCGGAGGGTAAATCAAAGTCGGAGAGACAGAGGTAGCCGGATCCGGTGGTGTTTAAGGGGGAGGGTGTGAGGGAGATATTGAGGTTGGAGGAACCGTTTATACCGAGGCCTGGGAGGTGTTAGGTTGGAGGGGGGAGTTTAGAGGGCGTGGGGAGACGAGGGGGGTAGGAAGAGTGAAAGGAAGGAGTGGAGAGAGATCGAGGGAAAAGACATACCAAGATTGATGAATACATATGTCCATGGATGATGCAAGTCAAGATTGATGGGGAAGGAAGCGGTAGGGTAGAGAGTACGGTTCTCGGTGGTGTTGATGTTTGCACCTGGGAGAGAAGGTTAGAGATTGTGTGAAGGACAAACATACACGATTGAAATTGGATAGGAGTGGATTGAGAAGGATGAATCTTAGTAAAGATAAATATACATACACGGATATTCCCACTGAGAAGCAGGCGGAAGGAAGGAATTCCCTCGCGGTGGAGGATACTTGATGGAGAAATGAGCGGAGACGATGGAGGAGAGGAACGAGAGAAGAACGATGATATTGAAAGTAGCCATGATGATGTAACTTTCTTGGATGATCTAGCGTACGAAATCCTCGAAGATGGAAAAGTTCTTCTTATTAGAATGAAAAATCCAAGACACAAATCAAGAGCCAAATCCTCCAAAAAAAACAAGAAAGATCGACGTTGCTTCAGAAGATATTCTACGAAACTATCTTCCTTCAAATATCTCGACCGGTCAACTCATGCAGGAATATCACATACATATAAATATAAAAATGCACCAACAAGGTATTCATCAAACTAGGTAATTCCCTCATAATCTGCTCAAATATTCAATACTCAATAGCACGCCCATCTTATCCTATTCACTCACTCCTCCCGAAAAAGAATATCAACTCCACTGGACATCCATCACACATCTTCCCACCCATCAGATGCAGAAGAAATTTCCCCAGAATACACGACAAGAAAACACGACAAGAAAACACACCATATAATAATTCGTATAGAAAATCTGCTCAACAACGGCATCGTACAGTTCTTGGCAACGTAGGATTCTAGCTCGATTGACCTGATAGAGAAATTGTGGCTGGAGCTTGGCCTTGGCGGGAGGGTGTGGACCAATTGAGTGAGATGGGGAAGATGCATGGTTTCTTTGTGCGCCGTGGTGGTGGGGGATGCGAAGGGATGGAATTGTGCTCATATTTGCGCAGGTTGAGTTTGGGATTGGAGTTGGATTTGGATGGGGATTTGGATTGGGATTTGGATTTGCATTTGGATTTGGATTGGGATTGGGATTGGGATTGGGATTTGGGGAGGGTTGGAGGGACAGACAAGTGAGTATCTATGGTGAGAGGAGGGGTTGAGGAGGTGTGAGGGCAGAGTTGAGGGCAGAGTTGAGGAAATGAATTGGGCAAGGTTAGCGGAATTTGGTAGGATATTCAAATGGAAATTTCACTCATCTCTATTTATTCCTATTATTATCGCATCAAGTCGCACTTATGATATTCGCGATGGAGATTGACAGAAAGTTACACAAACATCCGACTTCGTATTTCGACCATGTCTGCAGGTATAGAGCCTTTGTGCACTGTATTCGCAACTACCTGTCCGACATTGTGTTTCTTCGAAAATAAAGATAAATCGGAGAATTTATACGCATATGATTCTCGGCGAAGGGTAGGTGCAAGTATGCAGCAGCAGTGCGGGGTTTCAAGGGGAAGAAAGTAACCTTCCCTTTGCGTAACAACTTTTTTTTTGGGGGAGATTCGAGGAAGTATGTGAGAGTCATGTTATGCATTCTACAGTGACGAATTGATAGTCGATACTGACTGACAGAATTGAGTCCAAAAAGATGAAAAGTCCTCTCTTATTACAAAAGATTTCGGGGATATAGATCTAGCATGGAAATAGGCATTGTACCGGTGTTTGGTAGTGAAAACATGATTGGAAATTGGTTATTGTCCTGCTCGATCAATGTTGTTGGATATAGGAGGTCTATGGATCTCCTTTCTTCTGGGGATTAATGTTAGACTCATTCTCACTCACTCACGTCAGAAGAGCGATCGAATCTGCACTAGACGGTGTTGATGTCGTGACCTTTTCTGCTTGTGCTACCAAGCTTATTCTACAGCTTTGGGAAGATATGAAGAGTATTATACTTGAGAACCTAGCTTCTCGTCTCTGACATGTCCATTTTCGGTCTGGCAATTAGAGGGCGAGGGATTGACTCATGAACTGTCATAAGAAGGGTACAGTCCTCTCGCTCATTTCAGGGATGTGTAATTCCGATTATGTTAACAGTGCATTGGGTAACAGATTGATATCGGTATAGCTAACAAGCTGAGTTCTACTCAAGCAATTTACACAAAATATCTGACCAGCCAAGTAAACTATCTAGTGGACGACGACAGTGTAAGTCCCACATGATCCAGCGAAAAGGAATTAAACCGGCAACCACGAACTGAAAGCCTGCTAGAAGGCCGAAAACTCCCGGTCATAAGCTCAACCATCATTCGATCTCGATGGTGAACAGTGGATGTAGTCTCTCCTGCCAGATTTTCCACTGAAGTTTGGGCGCTATCGTTCAGTCGAGAGGGTTTTTGTGAAAACTTTCCCCAGAGCGCAGCTCCACATGTACAATTGCGCCTGTTCTGCGTGATTATAGTAGGCTTGAAAACTGGTACTTTGGAGCAGACTGGTATTGTGGCTACCAAAGGTGTTAGCATCATTCATTGGTGACGGGTGCTAATTTTGCTATAATTTGGATGAGACATACCGGATAGAAAGTATCCACTGCGGATATGTTTCTCTAGCCATAGAGTCTAAGTCGGAACATGTTAAGCATGAGCCACCGGGTGACTGGAACGCTGATGCTGAATGGGCCTGGTTTTTCGTTTGTGTTCTTATCGCAATTACAACTCCAACACAAATTGTCGTTGGCGGAATTTGGAATCCAACTGCAATCCAGCAGTTGGATGTGGAATGTTTGGAAAGAACCCAATGACCCGTCTATTGTTGGCAGACGTGCCGATCGATCGTCAAATTTGCGTATAGGAGCCAAAGACTAATCGAACTATTAAGGAATAGACCAAACTCGGGGTGATTGATAAAGGCCCTGGAATATCGGTCCCAGAAACGTGAAATGGGCATTCGAGACAGTTTGAGCTTGCGGGATTGATTTTTCGGGGAAACGATGCAGCAGGTAACCACGGAGGTTGTGAAGCAGTTGGTGCGCTCGTTGTGATATCTGGCAGAGGCTAAAGTTTCAGAATTCATGGCAGAATCTGGGAATCAATTATTGTTAGCAAACGCTATGGTGGAGGATGGTTTTAGATATCTTTGCCCGCTTACTTTTTAGATTTTGGAGGTGAATAGGGTGAATTGTCGTGGTAGAAATGTATCAGAACTAAAAGAATGAAGTTGATTCTATTAGCAAAGCACTTGAATAAAGCATGAAGAGGTGGACTGAAGTGCAAGGACAACAAACACAATATTGTTCAGGCTCCTTTCTGAATTTATCTATCATGCCTCTTCTGCTGATACAAAAAGGTGAAACTTCTGGTAATTTTTGCTTTTGTCTGTTGTAAAATAGTGAGACAGAAGAAAAACAGATCAAACGCTTTTAAAATTTCAGGAGAACAACATACGCTAAGTGATTAACAGAACGTCAATAAACCTACCTTCCTGTGCAGTTTTTACCACCGTCATGAAGATCCTTTTGTGAAAATAAGAATTTTCCACACTGTCTTGGTTGTTCGACGTGCAAATACAAACAAAGATGTTTGTCAGAAAACAAGCTGGAGATTGGAAGCTTTCGACTCGGCTAAATAGGAGGCATTTCTAAAGATCATACTCAAGTCAAGGATTGGAAAATGCAGTGTATTAGCAATAAACTGGAAGAATATTTTGAAATTTGTTGATAAATTGATTCTGAAAGAATCTAAATGTATGGGAGCTTCAGTAGCATGGAATCAAATCGAAAATTCGGGATCCTAGCTCCAATCACAATTTTTCAGCCCGTGACCTCTTTCCAATTGCAACTACAGCTACAACTGCAACCTTTAATTTTCAACATCGATGCAATGGTCCTACGAAACAAGTATTATTATGGCCGTCAAACTCCTCCCTCATTCTATCATGCGTTATGTGTACCAATAAATGCTGAGCGTATCTCTTCCGATGCAAAGGCTACTTTTCAATCAAGCCTGTTTCTTTCACCATATTCTTCGACGCTTATTTGTAAGTCAGTCCCATGTTGCCCAACAAAATTACACTTAGAGCTGATAATACAGACAAAATTCGCAGCATCATGCTTGAGGAGTCCAAGATCTTCTGACGGACTTTATCATCCACCTCATATTTCGAATAGTCAAAGCTCGGATCAAACGCTTCTAATTCTTTCAGCAATTGAGAGGACAGAATCGACTGCCAGTAAATCTGTCCATATAAAAAACCGGTCTGCCAGATTTGAAGATCGGCTTTTCCTCATTGAAGTACGTACATTGTTTCATCGTATTCCATCCCAAGCCTTGATTGAGATTGCTTTCTCGATTTGTGTTCACCCTCCAACGACTGGCAGCTAAGATCTTCTTTCCAACCAGGCTATAAGCCAATAATCCATCAGCCGACGTAAGCAGCCCAAACAAGAATTCCGGAAAGGGCTTCTGAAAACATTCGAGTTTTCACTTTCTAGTCTTACACCCTAGGCTGGAGACAACATGAAGCTTATCTTGTACTTCTGGCCAGTCCAACTCGAGCTTTCTGCCTGCGCTCGAAGCCCTATGTTGACTTGGTCAAAGAGCCGACCACAATCGAAGGGTCTAGGTGTCCAGCACTAACGATCTTCTCTTCCACATTTCTTCCTACATCACTTACGAACACCAAAACTTTATTTCAACACAGCTTCTGCTATAATTTTTTTTGGTGAACGGGACATATCAATCGTTGCTCTTCGTTCGTTTGAAAAGCCACAAAGCTTCTAGTAAGTTATCTTTGATTATACCACCATTCATTTCTGACATAAGAAACACAACTAATCGTTCATAGTTTAGGATCAGCCGTGGATCTACAAATCGATTGTCGAAAGAATGCTTGGATACGTGGCACGAAAAGCGCACGCGAATATATTGTCTCGTTGACTGTAAGTTATCTATCAATTTGAGAAACGATTTGTTGTCCGGTCGAATGAGCCACTCGTAGTTTCACGATCTAGTTGCTTATAATTTTGCTTGCACGGCTTAGCCTTGCATTGTACCGACTGCTAGCTTCCAATTGTCATGTTGTCGATCAACCTGCTAATGTTGATTTCCTTAAGGATAATCGACTACATCCGAATAGTGTACTATCAACAGTTACCAAAAGAATCAGCCCGACCCCGAGGGCGACGAGAGAAAGCTCGCTCCCAAAAATAAGAACCCGGTACTATTGAGGAAGCTCCGAATACGTAATAAAAAAGCACATCTAGAAAGAATAAGAACATAACGGGAAATCTAGTTCGGTCCAAGAAAAAAGCTCATCACTCAAGTGCCACTCGTCAAATTTCGAAAATACAGCATTGTTCAGGTTCAACTGGCAAATCACACTCGATCACCAATCGGAAGCTTCTGGGAGCTGCTAATCGAAGTCAACCAGTTGCGACACCGAAACTCCGCGATGGAACTGATCAGCCTAGGCCGGCACCAGAGAGGTACGTTCCACCTCTCGTGCCGGCAAGGAAGCTAGATGGTAAAGTTGAGCTGGACAAGACAAGAACCAACTTGAGTATTATGCACACATGGACGAAAGGGAAATGGTTCGAAGGATACCTTTCGGCATTATCATACTTTCATTAATACGGGCAGAGTAGCTGCAAGTGTTGCAGAGCACCCTTTGTATTAGTAGAAAATGCACTAGTCGGAAGACCACTCTCTTCCAAAAGACCTTTATTTGTGGTGATTGGCATACGCAATTAATTTCACTTCTTTATATATTTATGATTGAGCCAGACAGTTGAATAAATTACGTTTCTTGCATTCCGTGAAAACTTAGAACTGTGTCCGCCTTCAGAAATCTACATTGACATACTATTCATAATTCTAGAAGCACTCTATCTGTTGGGAGAATGGCATACTGGCGTTAAAGTTCTCCGCAATTCTTACAGACAGAGCTTATCCCCAACATAATTCATAATGTGATTTGCCTTCACGGCTTCTTTTCTTAGATCCAGAATTGACACCTTGTATATCGGCAAGTCGCATGTAAATTGAAGCGTTGCTTCTGTTTTGGGACTTTGTTTTGAGCAATTAGACTACTGGCTATATAATTGATCACACTGCTTTCCCACTGCCTACTCTGTCCAATTAGATTAAACAAAAAGTTGCATAGTGAAGTTATGATTATAGATTCCTGATTTTCTATCTTTAGACCCATTCGCTTATTTAGAACTCTATGTCATGCAACATCTTGAATTATCAAGCAATACACACAGACACATACCTCCAGGATTTTATGCCAAAACCCGAATTCCTATCCACAACCCACGCAATAGAACATCTTACGTCTTGCCGCAGACACCTATCGCCTTTCAATAATCAAAATTATTGCATTCGACACATGCCACTTGTAAACAGCTTATCAAATCAAATAATCTAGGAAATCTCAAAGAATAGAAAGCACAAACGATAGATTCTTGAAATGCCTGCACATCACAACATACTATCTCAAAAAAGCAAGAAAGTCGATATCAGTACACCCCATTCACAGGCGGCACAAGGCATCAACAACAACATGAACAACGCGCGGTCTCGTAGAGGAAAGAAGTTGATACCAATACAACTCCCTCAGAGCCGGTACAAGATAATGAGGATGCCGCTGAAGAGCCTCAAACGCGGGAAGTTTTCGAACCGATTCACCAGCTAGCATCTGACCTGGACGGTCCTCAAGAGGGAGTTGCTGCCGCTGCTGTCAAGGTGCTTAGTATTGACCGAGCAGAGTCACGTCTTGACGATTTATCGAAGATCCAAGCTATCGCTGACGCCTGTGGTACTCCTCTTCACGCTATCGTCAACCGTATACAACAAGTACACAATAAACTCCAATCTGCCATCGACAAGGCTAAACTTATGATTGCTAGTAACCCATCAAATAACTGCGAGGAAGAGGTAGACAAAGATTTTGAGGACGGTCTTATTTCTGACTGTAGCGCTGGATCTGATATTCCAGCTGTGCCAAACTGTTTACAGCAGACTCCACATAAGCAAGTCGATCAATCCCAAATTTCTGTTGTTGAGCCTTCTGTAGCCGCAGATGTTGCTTATCCAATGCTTCCGTGGAAAGCAGCTAAATCGTCAGCCCGAAGAATTGATGTCAACCGTCGTCCAAGTTTCAGTGTAGCATTAGACGATGCTGCAACATCTTCGGGTGCTGTTTCATTGAGAAGAGGTAAGAGAATTCGCGAAAGAGCACAGAATCAGGAGAGAGAAGATAAACGTCAACGCCGTTCATAAGAAGTTCAAGTACGAAGAGTACTTGTGGCGGGGCACAGTTTCACAAGCAAATATCGGGAAGGCAGGGTGGCAAGGGCATATACATGTGGAGATATGATCTTCTTTCTGAACGGTTGCTACTTTCCTTCAGTGTTCCATTACAGAAGTTCGCCCTGGCTGGCAATTTTCTCGCTTTCTTTGTACCAGATAAGAGAGCCCAAGAGCACTTGCCTTTTGTTTGCGTAAGTGATGAAGAAATACAGGGGGGAGACCGTGGTACAAAAGAAAAATGGCGGACGGGACATGATTCAATGTTCTTGCACAATAAATGGCATAACGACAAACTGACTTTTTGACGCACTCGTGCGGCACGACTACACATTACGAGAAGGCTCTTGCTTACAACTGTCACGCAATTGGAAGAAGAAGAAGAAGCAGGTAATGGAATTTTTTGGCAGGACTATGTTCCATATGCACCGATACTTATCATATCAAGACAATCGCTTCTGCTTCAAGAGCCTTCCCGTTTGGTTCGTTCCTTTTCAGATCAAGAAAGAGGTCTCCTTTTTAACACTAGATACTAGACTCATGATATGGATTGCGTTTCCTTTTCTGTCATCTTCTCGAAAACTTCGAGAATGATTTTTCTGCAAGAGTACTAGGCCAGGGTCTCTCAATATCAAAAGCTTTGTCATTATCCATTTTATGAAGTTGATGTCTATGAAAGTGACAAAGTGTGAATCTGACTAACAAACCCACAAACAAGGTTCAAGAGTGACAAGCGATTCAATAAGTTTCCATTCTGTTTAACCTCCCCTTTTCTTTAAGATGATTGATGGAGGAAGGAAGTTATCATAGAGCAAGGTTCTTTGATGTCTTATGTCTGCCAAGTTACTGGTTTCTTTAATCAAGAGTTGTTTTTAATCGGTGTGATGTTGTTATGATGGTCGGAGCTCTGGAACAAAATTTATCCCTTCCGAACATCCATGTGGACCATACTATCACAACCTCTTGTTGACCTTTCAGCAAACTTTCTCTAACCCTCAAGCTCTCAAAGGACCTACAATTCAGATGCATTCAAAGGCTTTTCTTCAACCCTTCCAAATGGTTATTTTTAACGAATAGCCCCTACATTCTTGACTTAATTATCTATCAAAAAGACCTCAAGTACTTAGGTGTCTTTGAATGAGCACCCCACTTTCGACCCTTCCTCAGTTGTTCTACGCGACATGCTCTTTTGGTGCTCTGATTGGGGAATGAGCTTCTGACAGAGTATACTGAGCTTTCCAACTCTTCTCTTGGATATGCAGACACTTTGATGAACTTTCCGCTCCAAAGCGTTTTGAGGCGTTTCTAATTCAAAGCCAACGCTTCTTTCCATTCCCTAACTCAATGCAATCACCAATAGTCTGAGAACGGAGCTCAAATCGAGGAAATGTTGGCAAATCCAGACGATCAGACTCACCATGCCGTTATCTGCTGTTTTTACGGACTTCCTCTCAGGAGGCTTTAAGCTTGGGGCTAGGTTTAAATTACCTACCTCGGGACACACTCGCGGCTTTATAACCATGTCGAGTTTTTCAAAGTCTCACACTATTGCTAAGCCTATTCTCTTGTGATAATGACAGACCAAGTCATTGGAACAATGCCTTCAACTCTGGCTGCCATCGCTAGCATTAATAAATTCAGGCTGGTCTCACATTTCCAATTAGATTTCATGTCTTTGTGACAGCTCAGTAACTACTTTTGGGGAGGAGAAGCTCTAAAGATTGTTGTATTGCTCGAAGATAGGCTTTTGGACTACTGCAACGATTTATCACCTCAGGCTATCCCGAAAGACTAACTACCCAGACAAGACAACTTTCCCACCCTCCCAGCAACTCATCGCTAACAGCTCAGGAATTCTTCCTTGCTTCTTCGACGTGCCGGACAAACCGACTTTTTAAAAGCTCCCAAGGATGACAGAGTAGCTACAACGGGAAGAAATCCGAGCCTCGCTCTGAAGCTAATGCACCAATAGTTCGCCAGCCACCACGGATCCCGATGTCATATAGTACATCACTTCAATGTTCGCAAGCACATGTAATGCGATCCCACAGCCATCACCTGCTCTGACCATTTAAGACATACATGGCAATTGAATGACTTGTAGTCTGTCATTCTAAAAAATAGCAGCACAGTTCCACGTACGATTACTGCTCGTGTCCGACATAGTAGTTATGTCTCACTCTTCTCACATGACGGAATCAAGTTTCATGATTGAAAGGACAAGGAATAGAATAACGACACGAACAGGCTGATACCTGGAGTATCAAGTGCTGGTGGCAAAGACAACTCAGCATTGTGGGTGGAGGGCGGGGGGCGGGGGGAGGTTTGTACCTCTTGATGATACTTTGGACTTTGGACACGCAATGCCTCTTCACTCCTTTCGAGAGCTCGTGACATATGTAAGTCCCAAGGCTCAGATCTCGTTACACTTCTTATTATGATGCTCGCTAGAACCATATTCTTGTTCTTAAACTTGGCTATGTAGCTTGGCTCTTGTTTCGTATGTGCCTCACAAGATTGAAGGTGCATTCACAGCGACACCTTCCTCTCCCACACGAACGTATCCGCCTGAAAGTTGTAGCATACCATTCTGGAATCTACTATTTCTAGATTGCGCGAGTTCGCGCCACCATTTATCTCGAGGCATTGCATTGTTACATCTGGACTCTTGCAAAACGCATCTTGGACCTGCATAGTTTCCAGGATAAATCCCATGACAGGCTCTAGCCAACGGCCAACGCAAGCATCAACATGTCCTTCACTATCTTCGGACTCGTCTCACACCATGATTTTCTTATGTTATTATCATTTCAGAGCTTAGGGAATGTCGAGCTGAGATAATCCGGGTCCTAGATTAGGACTTCTGAGGGAGGTGCTGCAGACAATGGCATATATTAGCATTTTGATGGTATAAAATAGAGCACGATAATACCTACCAAATACTTGATTTCTGTAACCTATTCGCGAAAGACTGTACGGTTTGTGCGGCTCTTTTTGAGCCGGAGGTCGATAGACTTGAGGTCCTCCGCCGGGTCTCCTGGGTTAGGTCAAAGGCAACGAGATTTCTCGTGCATCTGGGTCGCTCTAGCTGAGCAGCTTCAGTCTATGCCCCCAATGAAAGCCATGATGTTGGAACCGTGATCAACAAGTATCGTAGGCATGGTTAGTTTGACCCACCCGGATTATTTCATCTTGTTGGTGTTTAGGCATACAGGAAGCCCATTGTTCTGGAGCCTTTCAAGTGATTGTCCCAGGCCCTTCTAACTTCTGAGAGTAGCATCGATTCGGCTTGTAGTTCTTGGTTTACGTCGACCCCTTGTCTCTCATTTCGTAGTTTCTTTGATAGTACCTTCGAAAAGGGTGTTCTTCTTTGGTTTGCTGTAACTTTGGGACATTTTCCATCCTCCACATCGCATATCATTGTTTTAAAAGGCGGCTCTTATCGCATTGATGATGTGAGAATGGCTCATTAACCTACGAAGTTCGTCTTGGAGTAGAGTATTGTGTGTGGTTCCTTTCTTTCTTACTGGGAATCCGGCATTCGGACCGAGATGGATAATTGCCTTCGTTGGGACATTGATATCTTTGACGTAGATGCGGGCAATATTAGCTTCTTCTTAATTAGCAATTGATGTCTTGCATACAAGTTTATTGATATCATATTGAAAACGGGCCTTGAAATCATAAAACTTACTGTGATGGGTCGTATTTGGTTTTTTCGAAAGTGTCAGTCAAAAGTAGGTGCAGGAAAACGCCCGGGAGGCATTTCAGAGCTGAGCCAGGGCATATCCAGAGGAGAAGATACACAACGAACTTTCCTGCTCATTGAAATCAAGAAACAATTGAAATTGCAAAAGCACATAGATATCTGCGGCGGTCGTTTGAAATTGGGAGATTGTGAAAGGAAATATGTTTTGGTGGGGTCAATCATATCAAATGAGTGGATTCATGAAGAGCTCCAGTCAAGTAAATTCGCAAAGTCCTTTGATAATAGCTATTTATTTTGATTCCTTTGAATGCCACTTTTTCAGATATGTGTATCAGTCAAAAAGATTGATCATTTCAATTATGAGTATTAGTATCATTCGATTGGGGTTCCCGCTGCAGAATCGCCTACTCTGTAAACTGATCCGAGAGGACAGCAGACTCCCTTACTGTCAAAGCAAGTCAAAATCTCAGTAACTGTTGATATATGCTTGACATGACTCTATGATACTACGTCGCCTTTCTTGCAGGCGTCTGCGATTACTCTAGATGGCCTCGATACGTCGTTAATACTCGAGCTTTCTTCGTAATGGCACAATATACTGGTAGATCCTGCGCATCCCGGGCCCAACGGAGCCTCATCTCAATCTAAAATGCTACTGATCTAATTAAGCACTAATCTGAAGCCAAATATATTGTGAACGAAGCTGCTTCTAGTACTACACAACAACCTCAAGGTTATAGGCTAGCCTTTCCGATCAGGGCAACGCAAGTAGGAGGCCTGAGGACGGCTGGGAATCGAAGCTAGCGTACTTTTGAGTCTTCGGTCCCACAATAACCAGATAAACCTCGCGTAGGCTTCTGTCTTCAGGTAATTTTGAAGTTAAATTCAGTTTCTCGCTGCGGAAATTTCTTAACCTTTACAACCTCAAGATCCAACCCAACAATCCTCCTTCCCATCAATCCTCGATCCAATCAACCAAACAAATCTCCAATATGTCTCGCGTGCTACTAAGCCTTTGCGTGTTGACCCAAAAGATCATTCGGATGCTTGAGAAGATCGTAAGTTTCGTCAAGATCGATCTAACACTCTTGGCTTGAAGAATAACTAACGTCTTTTTAACCTATAGCGCGAACTTCGCGGAAAGATCCTCGACAAAGACGACCTAATCCACGATTTGTTGACAAGAGCACAGTGGGCCGAGCGAAGAGTGGCCGGACTGGTTGCTCAAGTTGCTGAGAAGGACGCGGAAATTGCTGAGAAGAACATCAAGATCGCGGAGAACGAAGCCGAAATCGCGGCGCTCAAGGCCGAGCTTGCTGCCGTCGGAGTACGTATATCTGCTACTGCAATCTTCCTCTCGATAAATTACTAATACATTGTCTACAGGCTGGTGAACAGGCGAATCTTGGTGAAGGTGGAGCAAAGCGTGACCACAAGAGAAAGAGAACTCACCAGTAGGGAGTTTCTGTGGGTGTGAACGTCGTATTTGGCTCGTCTCAAATTGATTTTGTTGGGCGGGAAGAGGGTGGTGCCCTAAAGAACCAAATCCTACTATCGTGGACTGCGGGGAGGTAGAATTGAGCTATTTTCCGCCTCCAAATTACTTTCTATATATGCTCGTGACTGAAATGACGTGAATAACTCCCTGATTACTCATTGCTTACTACATGTTCTTACTACTTGTAGACTACGAACGGTTTTCTTTTCGTTTCCTTCGTTGTTAATCGTGAAAATCTGCTTATTACTTTGGAGGTTCAACGCTGTAGTGGGTTTCTAGGCTATGAATACCCTAATGAACCTGTAGATCTAGAGATCTACGCCTCCAGTTGAGCTCTTCAAGGGCTTCAGTATAGGCTTTCAAGTGTAGAGATAGCCTATAGCTGGTACTAATAGACTGCTTCTAGTACGGCGAGTTTCTCTGAGTTAGCCATCTCTCCGAGTAGTTCTAATCACCTGACCCTCGCCCTAGATCTCGTGACTTTAATATTTCGAGCATCTCTCGTCTAAATCTTGAAATCTAGTATGTTATTTTAATCGTTATATCACGAGTTCTCGTCTCTTCTACTTGAGTCTACTATCTTACTTCTTTTAGTTATCTTCATATAATAAATCTCTTATGAAAGATAAAATTGAATTAAGTACTCATTGTAATGTGGTTTATCATCGAGTGGCCCATATCATCGAGTGGCCCACTTTCACCTCAATTTACACTTTCAAACCCATATTATTCAACAATAATTGAATCAATTAATTGAAATTATTAAGAATCTAATAATTTAGGATCTATTACATTATTTTGACAGATTCTTGTATTATATCCTGTTTTTCCGTATTTACTATAACATCAATTAGAAGATACTTCCCCATTAGAATTCCCCCCTTTTTAATATTCATTATATTGAATCTAAATATCAACCTTTTATTAAGATAATATATTAAGAGCCTTTTATTCAATAAGTATTCCTCCTTAATATAATTGATTTTTTTTTGTGCGTTAATATTTATTTAATATCTTATTTACTATCTAAAGTATACAATTCTTTATATTTAAAAGTATATTCTTATAAGCTAATCTCTCTATATCTTTAATTAGAACTAATATAATTTCGAATATAAATATAGGAGAGTTTGATTGATAACAAATTATTCGAGATTTAATTAATATTGATTAAGAAAGAGCTTCTATTAGGTTGCGAGGGGTTTGAGAGATTTATTGATCTAGATCGAAAAAGGGAAGAGTAAATATATAAATTTGAATATCTAATTTCGAGAGTACAGCTTTAAAATTAAATAGGATTAAACCTATTCCTCGGAATTCTAATTTTATATTCTAAAAGATGATTAATTCTTTATATATAATTTTAAAAGTTATAAAGAATTCAATCTTTGAAATATAATTAATATATATCTTAATAAATCCATCAATTTGATTATTATATAAATGTTTTAGATTACTAAAATAGTCAATATCAAGTAATTGAGTTAAATAATTTGAATATAATAATAAATATAAATATATAACATTGTTTTCTTTATAGTATATTTAAAAAGCTATTGATTTGTGACTTTTATGTTCATTTAGTATTAACATTCGATATTTACCCTTTCTTCGATTTTTAATATACTTATTAAAGTATTTCAATCATTTTAAATCTGTCTTATTATTCGTTTATCTATTAGATATAGGTTTAATAGCCTATTCTATAGAAAGATTTGTTTCAATATACCAATTAAAGAAATGAACTTGTTTTTGAATTATTAAAAATGAGGGAATAGTTTCACCCTTTTTATTTCTGTATATTATTGTTATAACTTATTTTCAATTACCTGGCTATACTATCTTGCTTTTGTTATTTCGTTTAGCATTAGTTATTACTATTGTTGTATATATAATCCCTATTATAAAACCTGTTTCATCGAAATTATAGAAATCTCTATCCAAAATATCGTATTTCGCTCATATATTCGCAATTAGTTGAAATCATTTTTCAAAAAGCTTAGAATCCTTACAAAAAGCTCTTTGAAAGTTATAAATATAACTAAAACATGTCTTTAATTCAATTTGATATTTTACAAATTGATGCACCTAGAGCTTTTTAATATATTTTGTATTCTTCAATTCGAGAATATTATTCACTATATCTTTTATATTCTTTAATTTAGATGGAAATCCTTTTAAATCTATATCGAATATATATTGAACAATCATTTCTTCTTCTAATTCTATAATCTTATAACAATTCGTTCGAGTTTCTATATAAAAAAGTAAACCTTTTATTTTATATCGAAAAATTGTATAAGGAATATTATAAAGTATAGTAACCTTTCAAATACTTAATTTTTTATTTTTATGAATAGCTTTGATAGTAAGAAGTATATAAGCTTTTTAATTATTCGAATTCATTATAGGTTGTTGATAAAACGTGTGTTGAAAGAGACAGGTGTAAATTGAGGTGAAAGTGAGCCACTTGATGATATAGGCCACTCGATGATAAATCACGTTATATCATCTTAATATAAGCTGTTATAACATGATTTAACACCGAGTGCACCATATCACCGAATGCACTACTTTTACTTCAATTTACACTCTTCAATTTCAACATACAATTTATCAATTATTTATTATATAATTAAACAGAAAAGAAGCTTAAATACTTTTAATTATTAAAGCTATTCAAAAAATAAGAAATTCAATATTCGAAAGATTGTTAAGCTATATAATATAATGTATACAATATTTCTTTACAAAATAAATGATTTACCCTCTTATTGTTACGGGAGCTGCCTCTAGGGTCACGTGGAAGTGGCTAGAGATCTCTCGAGGTGGTTTAGACTAGACTTCAAGTAGGAATTCAATAAGGTTGTAACTGGTTGCAATTCTCGTAACTATAGTAATGAAACTAATGATTGTTCTTGAGCACGAAGCTCTACATTATAATGAAACCCATTCCCTTATATAGATTTTCGTACCTTATGAATCGACAAGTCGATTACCGTAAAGCCGATTTCGACAAGTCGGTTTCCTGATCACGTGATGTCCATCCCGTGACTGGTAATGATGCCACCGCTTATCTAACCTGTGCTCTCTAGCCGACCTGTGACTGCTGCTTACCCTGTGCCCACTGTAGGGTAGGTAACAACAAAAGATAGGTACCTATCTTTTAATCACTGATTACTTATCTGGTTACCGCTATCTTTCGTTACCCTTCAATTCAACTGTCCCTACAGTGCTGTTTTCGTAGGTTCCAACACCAAGGCCTTAGGTTTATCTTATAATCCATGTTGCGGTGCGGGTACCTCCGTAACAACCGGCTTTATGATGGGCATGATATGCCCCGGAATGATTGTAACTAATGCTGAACAAAATGGCAGAAGAAAAGCAATACAACCAGGCAATCGAGAGTGGGCGATAGCGATCATATATGGCAATAGTGAGGGGAATACTATACCTTCATTTCTAATAGTTCAAGAACAGATGTATCTTTCTAATTGGTATACCGAAACCGATTTTCCTATGAATTAAACTATTAAACCTATATCTAATAAATAGACAAACAATGAGACAGGATTAGAATGGTTGAAACACTTCGATAAATATACAAGAAATCGAACTAAGGGCAAATATAGAATACTAATGCTGGATGGATATGAAAGCTACGAATCAATATTATTCTAGAATTATTGTAAGGAGAATGATATTAAATGTATATGTTTATTATTATATTTAAATCATTTAATTCAATCTCTTAATATTGAATGTTTTAGTATCTTAAAACGAAAATATAGTACTCAAATTGAGGGGTTTATAAAAGCACATATTCATTATATTTTAAAGGTTGAATTCTTTATAGCTTTTAAAATTGTATATCAACGATCAATCACGAATCAGAATATGAGAGCTAGATTCCAAGGAGTAGGATTAGTTCTATTTAATCCTGAAGCAGTACTTTCTAAGTTGGATATTTGAATCCATACATTTACTCCCCCTCCTTTTGATTTAGATCTCTGGATCTCTCAAACACCTCAGAATCCTATAGAAGCTCTTTTTTAATCAATATTAGTTAAATTTCGAATAACTTGTTATCAATCAAGCTCTCCTATATTTATATTCGAAATTGTATTAGTTTTAGCTAAAGGTATAGAGAGATTAGCTTATGAGAATATACTTTTGAATATAGAGATTTATATACTTTGAAAAGCAAATGAGGTATTAAGTAAGTATCGATGTGTAAAAAAAAACTTAATTATATTAAGGAAGAATGCTCATTAGATAAGAGGCTTTTGATATATTATCTTAGTAAAAGGTTGATATTCAGATTCAATGTAATGAATATCAAAATAAGGATAATCCTAATGGGGAAGCATTTTCTAATAGATGCTATAGTAAGTGTAGAAAATCAGGTCATAATTTAAGAACTTGTCAAAATAATATAATAGATCCTAGATTATTAGATTCTTAATAGTTTCAATTAATTGATTTAATTGTTGTTGAAAAATATAAATTAGAAAGTGTAAATTGAGGTAAAAGTGGTGCATTCGGTGATATGGTGCACTCGGTGTTAAACCACGTTAGTTAAGTAAATCTTTCTATTCAGCAGATGAAATATCTCGTCTATTGTTCTCGAATCTACTCTCTTGATATTTCGTAATATTCTTAAGAAAGTATTAAAATAAAGTAATCATAGTTTCCTTGTATATATATATATAAAGCTTAGTATCTTTCGTTTTTAGATCTTAGTAGTTCTCGCTTGATTTATTAAAATCTATAGTCTTACTTCTTCTTATTCTATTTATATAAGTAACTACAATTCTAAGAGTCAGTTTAGTTTAATACTTGAAATTTATTTTTTGAATATATATTATAGAAGTTTATCTAGTTTCAAAATATATCAGTTAGATCGCTTTTTATATCTAATCTAGTATAAATTAGATACACCTATAGTCTTCTCTATCTT